AAGCTCCCCCGCGCGCAACAACCCACACACACACACACACACACATACTCGAAGCGCTACATTTTTGGAGTGCGGTGCAACACAAGGCAACAAATCCCTTTTTCATTTTCAGCCGCACACAAACACACACACACACACACACCAACAAAACTTTTGCCAACTTCATATCGTCATTTTACCATCATCATTAGCGTCATTGTACAACAAAATAATTCTTTCTTTCGCCTTTTGCGTTGCGTGGTTTTTCAACACATCTGCACCGAGAGTGAGTGTGTGCCGAATCGAGGGGGGGAGCAAGACCAACGAGCGAGAAAGAGACGGAGTGGAGCGCACACAGCTACGGTGAAAAAGCTGTAAATGCAAGAAAATTCAATATTATAAGCCAATAAAATTTAGCTAGGTGCTTTATTTACGAAATTTATTTGTGCTACACATTGTGCGGTGGCTTGGAGATGCTTGTACGATGTTGGTTGGCATCGACTCTTCTTTCACCACCAACACACGCTCGCAGGCGCACTCACACCGTGGCTGTAACAACAGCAGCAGTTGGTACATAGACTTAATCCTCGCACTTGTGTTGTATCTCTCGCTCCATGCCATTTTCCATATGTGCCCCGCACACATACACACAGTAACACAAACTCACACACGGTGCCGACTAGCTGTTGTTGTGCGGTTGTTTTGTTGGTTTCTGACGACATCCACGAGAGCATTTCGGCCAATTCTCCCGAATCAAAATTGATACATGGTATATAAATAGCAGCAATCTTTATTGGGGGTGATGTTGCCATAGTGACTCTAAGAATGTCGACAATGAGATGCCTGCAAACGAACGAGTCAAATGATCATAAAATGCTGTGTCTCTGTTTATATTCGGCTTCCCCCATTGTGCCCGTCTCACACCCGTTTGTGTGCGGTTTTTTTTTTGTTTGTGTGTGAGAGCGCGCCAGTCAATTGATATAACTGTTCACGAACCACATACTATCGTTTCATATCTCATATTCATTATGTGCCCAATCGTGTTTGCACGACCGAATACAAAGCCAGAGCAAACACACACACACCAAATGGATACAAATGAAAAACGAAACGAACGAATAAAGAAAGAAAAAACATACGAAAAACATTATTGTTATTATTATTCCTGTCGAGCTTGTGATGCCTGAGGTCAGAGGCATTTTTGACACAGAACAAAATGGTTTTGTGATTTTACTTGAAATGTGAGCGTATTTTAAATTCATAATCGATGTCATGGTGCCGTGCCGCTACTGCTGATGATTTAAATCATTTTTCAAAAGCCACTCTGAAATGTTCTCTCTCTTCTTCTCAATCGTTGGGCGCGCGCGTGCATGTGTTTCTCGATTGAATTATCTCAATAATAGAAAACGAGACGGAGTTCTGTGAATTTTTGCTTTTATTGCAATTTTTCATTCTCTTGATTTCTAATCTAGAGCTTTGGTGTATGTGATGTTTCTCATTTGACTCACGAAACCAATCGTAATGACGAATTCGAGGCATTAAGCATTCGACAAATAAAATGCCAATAGCAGCAATTAAATGCGAATCAACTGACACCACAGTACATAGTAAAATTGTCACTGAACCCCTCCGAATCGAACAAAACGGCAACAGTGTTATAAATACCAAATCGATAAAAGCTTAGCGAATATTGTGTATTTTCGGATACGATGCAGAGTAGAAGTTTTACTCGGCATTATACCGATCGATAAAAATTGTAAATTATGACTCACTCCTTTTCTTCATCAAATGGCTCAATCTTTGCAGCCGGGAAAAAAATATCGAAAGACTTCGTTACATTTAGAAAAAGATATCATTTTCATGTAATTTAAATTACTTTAACTGTTTCGTTTTCATTGATTTTTGTGGAAAATTTCTTCGCTTCAACTTTTATTATCTCATCTCAATGCTGGGAAATGGCACGCCTCAAGCCATCCGACTGACTTTCTGTGCGAGCTTAAGCAAGCGGCAATATTTTCAAAAGATATTTTAATGCCGCTTTTTAATTGCTGCTTTGGCTGGAGTAATTAATAAAGTTGTGGAAGTTATTAATCGAGTTGCTGCGAAAATTAATTCGAAATAGTTTTTTTTTTCCTTTTCTCTCTCTCTCTCTCTCTCTCTCTCTCTCTCTCTCTCTATCTGGCGCTGTTGCTGCCGTTTTGCATTGATTTGTTAGCAAGTAGTTTTATTACTTTTAAATGATTCCGAATGTGCAAATAAATCAAATCCTAATAGTTTCTGCGTCTAAATCGCACGACACGGTACATTGGCTGCTGCTGCTGCTGCTGATGGTGGTGGTCGTGTTGGTGTAGCGGCAGATAAACGCTTTTAAGTGACAGCCTATTTAAATGGTCGACAGACAATTATTTTCATGCAACAGCAGCTTTGAAATCGATACCCGTTTTTGGAGTTGGCAACTGCCAAACGGACAGGCTAGTTTGTTGAAATGCAATAAAGTAAACGTTTTTTTTGCTACCAAATCAAATACCAAATATAAATCCCAACACTGTATTTGGGCCAGCATAACACACACAGTTTGTCGCAGAAATTAAGATTTAGATGCCAAACAATCAAATTAGGAAACGACACAGAGTACCACTTCGTGCAATGACATTTATTTAATCTCGACCATTCTGTGAATTGATCGTATCGCTTTAACTGAATGCATACGCATCCGAAATTCCGTGAAATATGTTTGGTCGACTAGATAATTACACTTGAATTTATATGAAATAGAACCCCAATTAATTTGGAAGATCTAGTACGAAAAAGAGCAAGAAATACTACCGTTGCCAGCGCACGCAGCAGTGATAATATACCCACTGGCCAACTATTATAATTAGAAATCATTACAAATCAGTTAAATTCTATGCAAAATGTGACCTTTCACATGCTCTCGCTCTCTCTCTCTCTCGCCTCTTAAATGCGTGCGGCGGCTCGTTTAATTGCAGCTATCAATTCCGAAATTTTGCTGAGGGTTTCGATGCGTGTTCATTACACAAAAATACCAAAGTCAGCTAGAAAATGGAAACTTGTCGCGTTCGATACGTAATAAAATATGATTTGTAGTTTGAATTTGAATTCCAGGAAAATGCACATCAAATAATGATTCAGTGTTTCACTTGCTTTATCAAGCGACGTTATAATTTATTACTAATAAATCATGGATTTGAAGTAAGAACAAGATGAAAAAATGGATGTACACATAGACCAAACATTCTATCATTGGGTTGACTTAAAAACAAAGATCATAATTCACTTCGTCTTATTTTCCCTACACTCCGTTCCTTACTTACCAAAAACCAACGAAAATTCAAGTTACTCTTGAAAGAAATGGATGAGTTCAAGAAATGCACTCATGCATTCCACAGAGAAAAACGATTGGTTAATGTGTCTGAATTAGGACCTATAAATTAAAGAGAAGCGAAGCATCTAAACATATGTAATCATCTTCAGTTGTGTGTGTTTGTGTTTTTTTCTCGTGGTGGAGAAAAGGATTGGAGGTCAAATATTCGGGTTAACCGAAACATGAGCCAACACAACTACGAATCAAATACCAATTAGATTGGTTTTAAAGTGAGATTTTAGGCGTCTCATTTACCGTGATTAATGGATGCGATTGTTCGGGAAAAATCCAAAATTATCGGTTGGTGATATATATGATTGGGCCAACATCGCGCTCGTGAATCGGTTCGTTGGTGGTTATTTTGATTGCATGTTTCGTTGTCATATCGCCTCTGATGGAGTTGTTGAAGCTGTTTTGTGATATTACTTCAAAAGCACTTTTCTCGAAGTAACTCAACTTAATGTCCAATAAAAGCAAACGCAATGCAAATCAAATGCAAACAAAACTTTTTAAATCAACGAAACTGCACATAAAAAAAATGGTACGAGCAAAACGGGTGCATAAAAAAACTAGTTGTAATGATAAATATAATTCATATGAAATGTAATTTACTTATGCTCATCGAACAATTTACGATCAGAATTCTACTTTAAATTGTTGGGTTTGTTTTTTCTCTCGTGAGCGCACACTGTTGTTTGCATCGTCGCTATAAAATGTGTGCATTTCGGTGTTATAACTTCTCTATCATTGCCGTCAACAGCGTCCAACAAACGAGGCGGTTGCAGTTGGTTTCTCTCAAAGTTGAATTATTATACAAATTTTATTTTTATGTTCAACCAAAATGTAATTCAACTTAAAAGATGGCTAAACAAAGTTTTGCGGCACTCGAGCTATAAAAAGGTATTTAATGGTTTTGTTTTCTTGTTAGAAATGTGCATAAACAAACAAGGTGGTGGCGAAAGAATAAAAAAACACAGTCACCGAAGGGTGTGAGAAATAAAAAAAGAAAATCAAAGAAAAGTGAATCGTAAAAAAAAAAACTCGAATAAAATCACGTGCAAAACAATTTTATTACGCAAATTTCTAATTTACAGTAACTAAAATGTAATGACGTCAAAAAGGGAAAATTCCCTGTGCATCTGAGACAAATGCATGACGCTTCATGCCATCGCATGTAAGAACACCTTTTGAGCATTCTCATTTTCAGGCCGTTAAATTGCTCTTTGGCGTGAAAGTCTTCGCGAAGCAAGTCATCGATTTATCCATAACTTTTCCAATTTGAATATATTTTTTTTTTTTTGACGATTTTGACGATTTTTGTGTTTGCCACGACAACTTTCATATTTGATGGTAATATACACGAACCACGTTTAGTGCTTCGCAGAAGCAAAAAGGAGATTTACCAAATAAATAGCAAATTATTTATTTCTTGATATTTCGGAGTTTTTATTATGTAATTCAGGAAAGGAACACATTTAAATAATATACTACGGGACGAATTCGGTTGAAAATAGAAACCGTTAAACCATTCTTAGTGTGCTTCCTCTCAAAGACCGAACGTTACTCTATTTAACGATAGAATGCGCGCTTCACCCGTTTCGTACCGCCATCTTGTTGTCACAAAAGTTACTTCCAATCAAATCAATAGCCAGCAGATATGGAATTTATTTGATCAAAAATACAATATGCATGCCCAAACTATTGTTTATTTTTTTTGCATTGAATGCCGCTCTATCAACCAACCACTTAATGTTCTCGAAAACGATGTATAAAAAATTGATTATTTCAGTAGCAATTTGTTATATTCTTAAAAATATCTATTAATTAACAAAGCATAACAATTCTATAGGTGAGATTGAGAGTGGTGTATGTTTCACTGACTTTGTTATGAAAGAGAAGAGTAAGTTTCTTTCGACTCAAAAATGGTTAAAGGCGAGTATGTTCATTTTTGGCGGGTCGTCACGGTTTTTTTGCGGTTTCCGTGGAACTGATAAGAGATAACAACTTGGTGTCTTCGGCAAAGTTGTAGCACTCGAAGTCTTCTATAACATTGCTGAAGTCAGTTATCTCTTATCTCTCTCCAGTTGCGCGAAAACCGTGAAGACCGCAGAGGCTAGACGGTACTACGACATACTCTACTTTAAAGCCAACAGAATCATCAGAAAACATACTCGCCTTTCCAAAAATATAAATCGAAGAAAAAACATACTCCACTCTCAATCTCACCCATAGAATTGTAATACATTAAACGCTATGATTCATTTTGATTTTCTTTTCCCAATTTAATGATAAAACCAGCAGTTGCATCCATCAAAATCTCTTCACCGTCATTTATGATTTTTGTCGCATTTGTAGCTCCCACAATGCACGGTAATCCATACTCTCTCGCGACTACAGCACCGTGTGATATCAATCCGCCGAGTTCAGTGACAACACCACTCAAAATTGGGAAATAAGGGCTCCATGCAACATCCGTGCAATAGGTAATTAGAATATCACCGGCTTTTATTTTGGATACTTCAGCAAATGTGTTTACAACACACGCTCTGCCTGTGACTCGTCCTGCGCAAACTGGAGTTCCAACCACTTTTTCACAATTCGAACGCATAATATCTTGTTCATTGTTCTGTGGCTTTATAACACCCCATTGGAATTCATCAAATCGTAGTTTTTTCCATTCAGGGAATAAACGGCGACGTCGAATGGCTTTGCTGATCAAATCACATCGATTTCGATCGTCAAGAATGATGCCAATTTCCTGATGCGTCAAATAGAATATTAAATCCATATCTGGAAGCAATCCCACCTCTTGCATCTTTTCGGCCAAATAACAATACGCCTTTCGAAGCTCATGAATGTAGGCAATGAGCTGACTTTTGGTTTTTTCTCTTAATTGCACGTACGCCTGACAACGCGGCAGAAAGAACCGAATCGCCCGCCTATAGTAACGAAAGAGTAGAAAAATACAGAAAATAAAAATAGAAGAATAGACATAGAATATATAGATTATCTCACATAGTCGATGGTTTGGATGGTGTTTTCAATTCAGCCAAAATTTCGTCATTTGTCCGTTTTGAGCTGCGTTTTTTCGGTGGATCGTTCAAGTTACGATTTTTGATGGTTTTTTGTAGCATTTCAATCACAATCGCTGGATTCATACCCCACGTCTCGTAGCCGAAGTCAAACTATTTACACGTAAAATGTGATTAAACAAATAAAAATATTGATTAAATCGGAAAGTTCATTACCTCTTGAAAGCCTCTATGGGCATTGCGCTCGATGAACAATTCAAACAGCGTATAGGATTTGATACAGTTTTCGGTGAGCCAAGCAATTCCCTTATCCGGGCTAATCATGGAAAACTCCATTGCCTTTGAACTATTACACCTTAAAAGTGCCGATGCGATTTCCTCCAACAAAATCGGAATTTCCGCTGATTCAGCGTTCTCGCATGAGCTCAACAAAATGGTAACATCTTGCAAATAGTCTTGTGTTATCTCTTTTTTACCTTCAGCCAATGCCGAAAACAGGATTATTTGATAGATAGTGCACATCATTGTTGTGCTACCGTGAACACTTTGCACGTACTCAAGTCCATGGCCAATTTTTATTGTTACATCTTCATAAAGCGCTTTAAGCGATGGAAACACTCGCAAATTGCGTCGATTGTAAGTGCCATTGAATTTTTCCATAAATCGATTCAGTTCGTCCACTTTCGCTTTTCCAGTCCATCCAGTTTTCATTGCAAACCACATATAATACCATTCGGTAAATTTGCCGGCAATTCCATACCGATGAATGGCTATTTGATGTATTTCATCGGTTATAAATTCATGGCCCATGATTGCAATGCCGTGCACTCGATTTTCCATTGATATTTCTTGCTTGCACATTCGCAGGAAAACGCTAAAAACATTAATTGCGATTCGACTGTGCGAAATGGCCATTATTTGATTGAAATACTTTCCTTCTTTGTGAATTGGAAAGTTCTTCAGGAGGCCAGCTTCAAATGTTGGCACCAGAGCTGAGATTGTCAACGGTGTGACTGCTTGTGACATCACTTCGCCCACATTGCCTGGAATTTTATCGAATCAAAACGTAAAATTTCTTTCGTTTGTGAGATGAAAATGATGCGAGTTATCTACCGAATGTAAAGTAATCTTGTTCGCTCATTACAGCCGTATCAAACTCGTGCGTTAATTCCCATTGTGTAAAAGAATTGGTTGAGGTCATCGGGCGAGATTGAAGTAAATAGGTTTTGTTCTACGATCAAATTAATATAGTGTTGAGTTAAAAACCGGTTTACAAATGACTTAGCATTGACTTACATCACGAATAGCCCATTCAATGTCTCTTGGTGTGCCATAGTTTTCCTGTAGATAAATTCCGATTTCAGATAATTTCAACAGATTTTCATCGGACAGACAGAGTTGTTTTCGCAAATCATCATTCACTTTGGAACTGTTGACATCATCTGTTAAAACATTTTGATGAAAATGAATTTAATTTTGTAATGTCATTCGAAATGACGATGGAAAATTGCTAATCAATATACTTACCATCGACTGACATAAAAACAAACGAATCTTTTTCACCCAATTTCCGTTCTAGAACTTTTAAATTATTGTTTTTATAAGATCGTTGAATCACAAACATATCTGGATCGACTAAGCCAGACACCACCGACTGCAAAACGATGATTATTTTATTTTTCATTTCAAATACGGTTCATTTCAAACAACACTTACCTCTCCTAATCCATAGTTAGCTGTGATAAGTAGTTTGCTCGGATCATTTGTAACCGGATGTTGAGTAAATAGAACGCCAGCACAGTCTGGTGCAACCATCGTTTGAATCACAACAGACATTTTCGTGTTTATTGGTTGAATATTCTGGATGCGATAGGTGACACTTTGCAATGTGAATAATGATGCCCAACATTTTTGGATGGCGACCAAAACTTGGTCAATTTTTTTAACGCCCAAAAATGTTTCGTTTTGTCCAGCGGAAGATGATTCCGTCCCATCTTCACCGATTGCGGATGATCTTACTGCCACTTTTAATGACGAACCAGTGTTGTTTTTTAGGATTAAATAGGCTTTTTTGATTTCATCCGCAATTTCGTCGACAATAGGCGTGTCGATGAATAATTTTGACACTTCTTCACAGGCACTTTCCAATTTTCCATTGTTTCTTTTATACGCAATTGCTTCTATATTCGCTATCGCATCACGCACCTGCCAACAGTGCTTAATTTGAATGTCAAATGCATCGGTGGTCAATATAAACCCCTGTGGAACCACAAAACTATTCTTTTGGCTGAGTTCACTGTTTGATAAATGTGTGAGAAAAGCCAGGGATGAACCCTTGCCACCGCATAAATTTTCACATTGAGCGTCGGGCTCATTGAAAAATAGTGTCAACGTTCTTGATTTCCAAACATTGCGATGTCGTAATGTGTCTCGATTTGGCTCTATTACAAAGCGTGAGGTTGAAGTTTTACTGGAAAATATCATAAATCCGACGCCCGGTTGACCGTTTACATCTACAAATGAAGTGAGAATTTTTTTCAACCTTTTTCTATACTATTGTCCTGACTGCTCGAAAGAACAAATGCAAACCAATTGTAAAAGTTGTTTTTGTTGTTGTACATCCAACACTTTGAATCGTCTTGCTTGAATCGGGTGCAATCCGAATAATTGATCTGAAACTTTTGTTGTTTGCTGAAAAAGTGCACAGTTCATAGTCGAATTTTTTTTTCATATTTTTAACATTTTAATTTGATTTCATGACTAACCTTTGATATTGAAAAGTAACTCTTTCGGAGTGTTTATCGCTTCAAAATCGGACATATTCAAATTAACGTCATTGACGCGATGTATTTCCATATTCGCCATTCTCAAAACACCAGAATAGATTCTGAAATCCAACGAAATAATACGATAAGTTTCCAATAGATTTCCGAGTAGTTAGGGTTAATTTGCAGTCCCATTAATGATGATTATAATCATCATAATGCAAACAACTGTGTACGTACTTGTTTTCATTTTCAATATCCCGCCCAGATAGTGACACAACAAAGCCATCTCTACATGCAGCCATTAAAGAGCATGTAGTTTGTGGATCATTTGAGATTTTCTCATCCAAACGACGACTCGTTCGAACGCCAGGCAAATTCAATTCAAAAATATCTTTGGAATCACCATTTTCGATTGTGACTTGTCCAAATAACGAACCGAATTGATCAAATCCTTTATCCGAAAACAATCTATAAATTAGAAAAATGCGCAATTTTCAATACAAATTTCGATCATAACATCCAGTATATGATCTATTTCATTAGCTCACAGTCCATTTAAATGGTATTCAAGATGGTGTTCAACATGGCCATATGCTCTTGCCAATAGTTTGGAGCTCCAATTATTTGGCCAGCTCATTTGATCGGAAGCAGCGAACCAGCTGCAAGCAATTAGTTGAAATTTTAGAAAATTCTATAGCATTGAACGTTTGGATTCACTCACAAAAATGTAAAGGTAACGTGTTGTGGTTCAATGTCATTGTTGTCATTCTGTTCGTGGGGTTTTTTAACATCAATTAATCCGTTGAATGTGATACGCCACTTGGAATACGGTAAAATTCGCTCTATTGTTAAGCCTCTAGACGAGAAGCTTTGTTGGCTACTTGAAGTTGACATCACCAGGTAATCTGATTCAATTAGAGGCAAATTATCATTTCAGATGCAATCGTGTGCCATTTACGACCATAAATTACAATTAAGTAGCATCTACTGTAAATAACAACAATTCTAACAAGTTGTCACGTAATTTTTACCTGGAATCGTTAAACATGTTCCGTCCTTGAGTTTTAATATAAAATTAGCATCCTGAAATTCGTCGTGGTTCTTAAAGTCCACAAAGAATGAGTCTCCGTCTTGACTACAGCCGAAAAACTGTGGGAACATTGTGTTAGCATTAATGGCGCTACTCGAAAACGCAACCGTATCACATACCTTGAAGTGTTTGTTGTCTAATCGTTCATCTTTGAAATTATCAGTTATTTTGTTCTGATTCATCCACTTGGCGATCTTACGTGCTTTCCACGACTCGAACAGTTTTTTCTCTGTTGAACAAATGTTGTGATACAAAGCAATTTTGAACAACGTTTCTTTTAACATAGAAATATTTTATGGACAGTTTCACGGAATGGTGTGTGACTTGCGAAAAGCGATCGCTTACTCGAGTAAAACTAAAACCGATCGTGAATAGTGTACAACCGTGCGTGATATGTTCATGTTCATCGTGTGAATGACTGGAAACAACTCTAAATTAACTCGTTTCGTGTGAAGGATGTCAACAAAGTGATTTATTGTTGGAAATAATAGCCCAATAGTTCAACGCCGTTGTAAATATTGCTATGCGAATGAAGTTAGAAAAATCGAAAAAAAGAGCTACGTACCGATTCTCGATCCATTTTTCGATGTTGTCGGTTGAGAGGCCATTTTTATAATGCGCCATATCACATATCCACTGAACAAACTGACCGCAAATATTATCGGATTGAAATCATCAAGAGCCATATTATTAATGTTGCGAATGACTGGGCATATATGAAAAACAATAAATCGATGATATCGCTAAATTATCAACGATTATCACTCAATTCGCCTCCGCTTATCGTTATCAAAGCTATTGATTTCGAAATGGTCCGAATAAAAGTCACTTGTTCACTACCTTTTTCTGGAAATAATCGCAAGAAAATGTCAAGTGTTTTCTTTGTCAAGCAATGATATTACAATATCATTCAATTTTTAGAAGATCTTGTGACAGTTTTAGGCACGATTAAATGAAAATTACAATGAATCGAAACATACGGCAATCAGATACATATTTCAATCACAGATAGATCAAATCTTCACCAATTCAAATTGTTTTCATTCAAAAACAAGTAAACTGAATTCACAATCGATCAACCTCTCACAAACAATTTAAACGATCTTAATTTGCTTTCGATGATTATGAGACTTTATTCAATATTTACATGTCGCTGATAAAAAAGAAATTCAATATGTCGATTTGTCTGCCTCTTCTCTCTTCACGTCTTTTGTTTATGTATCCAAAGATGTGTTCTAAAATAGAAAACAAAAACAAAACTTTGAGCGCTACGCAACAGCTATGTTGCTATTTGAGCAATCAACGTTGAACTGAGTATCTCAAGTGTGCGAAGAGAGAACGTGAGCCGAGCTCAAAACGAAATGAAAATGAATGAAACAAATCAATTACGTAATTTCAAAAAAAAAATTATACACAGCTCAACGATCAGGCCTATATATCGCGTGTGTATAGTTTGCACTATATTCGACCCCGTCTCACTGTGCTGCCATTTATCGTTGTCATAATCATACGTCATTGAAGCATTTTAACTGCTATACCAATCACATTGCAAAAGCACGGTCAATTTTATCAGTCATCATACTACGTTTTGGCACCAGTTTGAGTGAGCCACTTATACTTTGCTCACTTGAAATAGAACCGATGCAGTCGTTATATGACTTTACTTGCTTGAATCACATTGAGTAGAAACAACATTTGGTTTTACTTGATAAAATTGGATTTATCATTAATCCATCAGGTTTAAAATTTATTTAGTCATAATTTTAAAAAAAAGTAAATTCATTGTGCGATTCTATTTTTTTTTCTTCGAATTTGCTTGATCGAGACTTTCGGTGGAGTCGTTTTCAGTAAATTCTCCAGTCCCATCATCCATACGATTTTTGTCCACTGGATACAACCATCGTTGATACTGCAAATGAACATAAAATCATGTAAATAAATAGTAATAATTAAATAAACCTCAAATCATCAAAATATTTCAAAGCACGTGCTACATGACTCGAACAATTTCTTACCAAATAAATGAGGAACACAATGTCATCGCGGAAGCATGCGATTCGATGGGCAGTGGGCATGGTAATGATAAATGCGAAAATGTCATCGATAAATGTATTAAATGCCTTGTACATAAAGGCACGCCATGGAAGCGCCGCGACAGATTTCAACTTGTAATTTACAAATAATTGCGGCAACATAAATAAGAAACCAAACGCATACACGCCATTGACGAGAGAGTTCAGCGTCCAAGAATACCAGCTAAAAGAAATTAAAACGAAAATTAAGTCATTTGAAGATCTAGTTTTTTTTTTTGACAATGCATACCTTTTGTGTGGTTGATAAATTAATGAATACACTGCCCCTGCGACGCACAATGGATACAGAAGATAGCTCAAATAACGCATTCCCTCTCGGTCGATTTCCTTGGTAAGTGCTTCAGCCTTTTGAATTGATTTGTTTTCAGCGGATGATTTTACTCGAATTCCACTCCAAGATAGTTCAAGTTTTAGGATTTTCTTCGATTTCCATAACTAAAATTGTTCAAACGAATAAAGGTATTTAGTACTTTATGCATGGTCAAAAAATTGCACAACTCACTTCAATAATCGTGGCAATTCCAGCTGGAATCAATACCAAAAGCGAAGTGTGCTCATCCAAAAGATACAAAAAGATGACAATTTGACTGAATGTTCTCCATAAAGTGGTTCTTAACGATAAGCCTACATAGGTCTTCTTCTTCCGCCAAAATGAGATGTCATTTTTGAAGGATAGGAAATCGAACAGAAGCTGTAAAATGAACCAGATAGTTTAAAATGACTGATACTGAACTGTAATGTAAATAACAGTCACAGTCAGTGGCGTAAAAATACTCACATGGACGCTGCCAATGAACATGGTGCCACAAAGTAGGTACAAATTGGCTTCAGAGAAAATGCCTTTAACTTCATCCACGTCTTTGTTTGTGAAACCGAATTGCTTGAGCGCTCTGAGTGCATGTTCCACATGTAAGATCAATCGAAGTTTGCCGACGCTGATAGGTGAATAGGTGAAGGTAAGCGGTAGTTTCGTTGTATTCGAATTCATCTCAATTAAATCGTTCAGTCGGGTTTTGAGGAAATCATTTTGAAGAATGGGAAGAATGTCTCTCTCTTTGGTGATTCTATGAAAAATAATAAAAAAAATGATTGAAACGTAGAATCGTTGCTACAAAAGACTGTCGTACAAAAATCGATGTGAAAAAAATTCCACTGGCGCTCCGAGGATTTCATACAAACTTTGCATGTAGCCGGTCCAACACAGGCAAAAATCGAAAGAAAAGTCAATTTTTTTTTCGATTCTTATACCGTATTTTGTGTGCCCATTGCCCAATCAATTGGTGTTATCGACACATCAAAATACGAATTCCTTACCAGCTTTTGATAATATTTTGAAGCAAACTGCATCATGCATGGAATTAGATTTCAAGAGAAACAAAGCTAACTTGCGGAACAAAGTGCCACGAAGGCAGTTTCGCTTCATTTCAGAATTGCTCTGAGGAAATTTTTTTTATCGTAATGGTTCATATGATTCACTATTTCTCTTTCAAATTCGTATGGGTAAATATTTCATATAAAATTTCTTCTGTACCTCATCATATAACCCATTTCCGGTGGAATAGTGTCGCTTGATACATCGAAGTGATCGGTTAGCATCGTAACATAGATTTTTGGCTTCCAATGCGACACAGGTTTCTTATCAACAGATGCGCTTGATGGCTCCTTCTATGGAATCAAAATCATTTTTATCGACCTATGAAAGTTTTCATTCAAAATATGCTTGTTACCTCATTGTCATTAAGTAGGTTGAATGTGGCTGGTCTTGGAATCATATAATCAGTAAGCGGTATGCGTTGCACAACAGTCATTCCCTCTCTTTTCAGATTTCTCCACTCGAACTCAACACCGATGTCATTCACCAAGACTAAATGCAAATACATTGTACCGTTTCGATACGTTTTCCTTGGAATGTCCACTGTGAACTCCCTGTCAACAAATTGAAACAAAGTCAATTCAGTACATTAAAAAAATAAAGAAACAAGTTTTCAGCAGACGAAGAAAAATTGTTTTCATAACAAAACTTACCGCTTCAACTCCTTATAGTAGTCAAAATTGTCAATGGCCCCAATTTTGGTAACATCTTTTGTCAGTGGATTTGATAACGGCGACACGAATAAATTCAATTGTAATTTCGGTAGTTTGGCTAGAATCGTTGTATAGCAGGGTTGTGATGTACATTTTAGCGTTGTGAATAATTGCGATAACGTGTACACGGAATAGGACACATAAATCATAAATATTGCACCCAGAATCACGGTGACGGACGGATGATACATGTTTAGTATCTGTTTTATTATTTATACAATTCGTTTAAATTAAAAATTAAATTTAACTCATTATTAGGCAAATGCACAACTTTTCACGTAGCCGGTTCAGTGTGGAATGAAAAGAGTAACAAACTGTGGTGAGATCCAAATTTTCAGCGTCTGTAGTACAGTTAATTGAATGTCTATCGTAAGAACATTTAGTTTGCTAATGATTCTAATTACTTGGAAGCGACTTTAAAGAGATAACAAACTGTAAGGTCAAAGTAAACACCTCCAGTCGCCCAAATTGCCGCTGTATGACAAGTGTGTTTAACAATGATGACGAACTATATGTACGTGTATGTTTTGAAGTGCGGGTTTGACAATTGAAGGCGTGCGAAAGAGACGCATCTATGTAACACTCACGAAACAATCTATCGGTCGCATGTACTGTAAACAATGATACACTGTTAAAAATGGACCTAACTTGATTTCCAAATGTGTGCGTTTTGAAATAAAATGTTACATTGCAATGGAAAAACTTCTGTTTTCGTCTTAAACAGAGCAAATATTTTCATAGAAATTCATCGACTGAAATAAACAACAATTTTTCTTCGTGTAAAAATCACTTGTAAATTCCAACTGTTCAGAACTGTCATCGTATGAAAATCCAAACTGTCAAACTGAGACTCGAAACGTCATCGTTTTTATGTACACATCTATCAGAATTTTTCATTGGCAAAGTTTATTTTTTGATGTTTTCATAATATTTGTGAAAATAATATTTCGTGTATACACGATTTTGAAGTAATTATTCAAAATGCCTGAGCCAAACATGAAAGCGTTCGACGAAAGTGATTTCAAAGCGGAGAGATGTAAGTTGTGACTACGAAATAAAAGTTAAATATGTTGGGACCGATGAGTTGTGATGTGTTTTATAAACAATAATAATGATCTTTTGCCCGCATCTCTATTTAGATGTGAAAGAAATGGTACAGGAATGTGTGGGCGGTGCGGCTCTTCAACAATGCAAATCAAAGATTCAATCATACGGCGAACAAACTTCATCAACGTTGAAAAAACATGTCTACGCCAATTACATGCAGTTCATCGAAACGGCAAAAGAAATTTCACGTATTTGTTCAATGTCATTAAATGTGTTCAAATCAAAGTTTAATATGAAACATCTTCCTTACAGATTTGGAATCGGAGATGTATCAATTGTCACATTTGTTGATCGAGCAGCGAAACATTTTGTCCACACTGCGAGAGCAGAATTCTATTGAAGACACTAGAGGCGTCTTAATGGACGAACCTACAAATGGTAACCTAGATTGAAAAACCGGTTTTCTCATTACAAATTATAATTGATACTTACTTACTTTTGGTTACACAAATTAATTGATTCCAATTCAAAAAAAAATTCAGAAGTCGACAAAGATATACAAAACAAAAAGGCACTTTCTGCCATACAGGAGTCGTTGATCGGATTCAATGGGAATTTGGAAAACAAAACATTTCTGCATGAAGGTGCTTTAATCGAATTGGATCCAGAAAGCTACCGTCCGATTTGCCGCGTTTACTTCTTCCTATTGAATGACCTTTTAATCGTTGGGAAGGTGAAACATGACAAGTATGTTGAAAATGTTGTGATTTTCCCCGGAAAAAAAGCTAATTTTGATTTGTTTTAAAAAGAAAATTAGAATATGCTGCTCAGTACGATGCCACAAAAATTGCTGTTATCAATATAAAAGATTTGGATGGTGTGAAAAATGCAATAAATGTCATCACACCAGAAGATTCCAAGATATTTCAGTGCATTAGCCCAACGACAAAGGTAAAAGGACATTTTCTGATTGATATCCGTGAATGGAAATTGCAATATTCTACCCTTCTCCCCAAAATTATTTAATGCATATGAGAATCATTTCCCATTTTCAGAACGAGTGGATCGATAAATTTGAAGTGGCCTTAAAGTTTAAACAACTGAAGAAGAAAAAGACACCTGCACCGCAGCCGCCGAGTCGGCAAGTGAGTACAACTGAAGTTCCAAAATCCACAACAAAAACTAGTTTAGCGAGTGAAGCCACCGTTAGTCCAACATCCACTGTTAGCGAAGTTGAAGTAAACTTGAGATATGCTCCAGAATGGGTGGCATCGGCACAAGAGGAAATTCACACACTAATCGCACAACGTCATTTTGAGGAAGCTCTGGCTTTGATCACAAAGTGCGAAGAATATTTTGTCAAGGATAATACATTTCACAATGCCACCGAAATTATCCAGAAGGTGAGATGGTTGAAGCGTTTTCAGCTCTATTCTAAATTTCCCCCTGGTAAACGATTTCAACAAGTTCTTGAATGTTCTAACGTTGTTATAGGTGAAACAACTCAAAAATGACCTCTCAAATGTGCTCCTCGATGAATTGTCGAATTGTCAAACACGAAGCCTATACGCAGCGTTGGTGTCATCTCGTGTCAAACTTAAGTTATTAGCCGACATGAACAAAGATCGTGAAGCATGTGGAACCATGTTAAAAGTATGTACCGCCGCCATTCGATCATCGCAGCGTCAGGCGCGTCGCAATAATTTGGAAATTTCACAATTGTTCTTCTGCGATTTGGCCCAAGTGGCCAGTGAATTTCTCAAAGCCTTCAAGAACAAAGGAGCGTGCATGAGTAGTAAGTGAAGAACGATTTCAAATTTGAATTGAATTTTTGTTAATCAAAGATTACTTACAGCTTTGGTTGTCTGGTGTAATTATGAGCTGCAATATTTTGCATCACAGCTCATAAAACACTACCTCACCAAAGGTTCACAGTTAGAAGCCGTTGCGAAATGTGTGGATGGAGTGCGAGAACCTTGTGCTAAATTGTCAGAGATCGGTTTGGACTTGCTGTATCATCTGGAGGGCTTGCTGAGAACAACATTGGAAGATATACTCAAAGAATCGCGTGAACGTTTAATTGACACAATCAGCCGTACCGAAAAAGTGTGGCAACCGTATAATTTACAAACTAAATCAAACCTTCGTAGCGTTCTTCGTGATTTGGATGCATTGGGCATTGATATGAAATCACAAGTCACCGGCGATACCTGGATCAATTTAACACAATCAACAATCAATTTTTGCCGTCACTTTCTATCGATTTGCGAAAGTTGTGCCACCCTTGGTAAAATGGAAGCGATGCGATCACATACACAAACTCTGTTACGTGACCTGTTTTTGGCTCAATACTCTAGTAAACCAAATCCAAATGTTACTGTTGATGTAAGTTGAATTAACATTTCCTTTAAAATTCTACACAAGCTGTGACTCATTTTCTATTATCTATTTCAGTTGAATTTCGTGTCGAAAAACAATAACTATTTGGTAGAAACGTTATTACCAGTTGCTATTTCGAAATATCAAAAGACGAGTGGAAGCAAGTGTGAGCATTTGTCCGAATTATTGAATCAACTAAGGGGACCACCCAAGCCCAAGCCCCGAAGTATCTATAAAACTGATGTTCTCTAAGAATTCAGTCTCATGGTGTTATTGTATTCGAACGTTAATCAAATATTACAATAAAGATAATAGTTAATTGAAATAGCGGTGTTCTGTGTTTTTTTCCTCTAAATCAAATGAGTTCCCGACCAAATTCCCCGATTCAAATAAAAGACGTCGATTTATTTTTTTTTTTTTGCAAATTTTCCCTTTATTTTTATATGATCATAGTTCGTTTTGATATTTTTACATAATAAGAAATAGTTAAATGATCCTTTTTTTGTTATGTTTATTTCGCATGATCAAAATTCGTTTTCGTATAGAATGAGTCAATTTTGTGTTTTGTTGCGTGCGAAATATCAAATAATAAAATGACTGCTTAGATCAATCGCACAAAAATCTGATTTTTCATTTTGTTGTTCTTGTTGTTTAAATTAAAAAATAAAATCATTTAAATTAAATAATAATTGTTCTGCTCTTTTATTCGTATTTTTTTTTTTTTAAATAAATAATATAAGACAATTCTTTTTTATTTGTTTGAATAATTGCTTCCGTTGTTCTATATTGTTGTGGTTTTGGATTTGCGTAATTTATATGGTGACGTAGACATGGTGTGGATTAAAAAAAAAAAAAATTTATGAAATCGATGTTATGTTGCCAATGAGTGCGAATAAAAAATTCGCATCTCGTCATAAAATGTGACAATTTCGAATTGTTTCCAGTTCAAATGAAGTATGTTTTTTTTTTGTTTCTTTCTTTTTTTTTCTCTCTTTCGCTTTGATTGATTGATGATGTTTACAAATCACTTTCACCGTAGAGTGCTGTACTGAATGACATATAGTCTAATGCCCCTGGAACACCATTTGGTCCTTTGTATGGTGGCATTCTTTGAATACAGTATTCAGCTTGATCTGGTGGCAATTCACGACGCAATTCGTCTGGCAAAATGAATGGCTGAAAACAGAGACAGGAATATCGTTTGAATTGATTCAAATCCAAAAACACACATTCGATCGATGTAGTGGTATAAGAGTAGAACGTACCTTGTCGGAAGCCAAAATTCTGAATGAATCGATAACTTGTTCAGCAGTGTCAGTGTCGGTGCTTTCGCGGGTCATGAAATCTAAGAAAGCGTCAAAGTGTACGTAGCCAGTTGAGTTTGGATCGACAGCGGCCAAAATACGTTGGAAGTCTAATTCACCTTGTCTGTAATATGAATAAATGGTCAATGGTGAGTACATATTTCGTCCAATAAGGTGGTGAAATTTGTGTGCTTACCTATCGCGACCGATCGAGTAGCCCAATGATACTAAACATGATTTGTATTCTTCTGGTGCCAAGCGGCCAGTTCGGTTTTTGTCAAAGTGATTGAAGCTTGATCGGAATTCGTTCAATTGTTCTTGTGTAATTCCCTTCGAGTCACGGGTCAAAATTTGATTTTCAACTTCGTTGACATTTCTGTTGATGGACGTGAGCAATTGTTCCCATCCGACGCGCAACGTTTCCATTGTGTAGTGCGTGTAACGATTTTCGAAGATCATCGACTCTTGAACGGCTTGATGGATCTTCTCCAATTCTTCCATATTTGGTTTGTAGGCAAAAACGGCTTGTTCGTATTCTTTCAAGCGGTACATTTGATCTTCGAGAGAGCCTTGCAAGCCCATGCCAATGGATGTGACCGCATCCATTTGACGTTCGATCCATGGTCCAACAACATTGGCCTTTTCGGCGAATTGGCGACGCAATGTTTCGTTGTTTTGTTGTTTGCGCAATTCGTTGGACAATGTTTGGTCGCGTTGTGGCACCAATTGACGCACCTCCGACCATTTACGGTTCAAGTCGTGTGCGGTCAATGTTGTGTATGGGTTCTCCAAACCGCCTGGGATTTGGTGTTGTTTGACTATGCTTTCGACTTCTTGTACCAAACCAACGATAACATTGTATTCCTTATCGGCTTCGCCCAAAGTGGCTTTGAATTGATCGTGAGCTTGGATGAGGCCTTGGATTTCTTCCATTGTGTGAACAATGAACATGTCAACAAGATCCTCGCGTGTTCCATCCAACCAGTTGTTGAATGGAGCCGCACGTTTGGCGAATTCCAAGTGCAAGATGTCAATCTTCTCGAGAATGCGCTCGGCATCGTCGAGCGCTTGACGGCGACGTTGTGTCAATGCACCGAGACGATCCCATTGATCGCAAATGCGTTGGCAACGAGCATTGACCGACACACAGTCGTGATATTCAAGAGTGCTTAATAAAAAATGAAACACACACATTAGCTGTTACTGAAAGTGAATAATTTTAAAGTGTGTTGACACTCACTTGAGCTCTTGGGCAATGGCAGCGATTTGTTCAACGCGATCTTGGTGAGCGGCCAAGTCGGATTCGAAAGCTTCGTGCTTCTTCTTCAAGGCCTTCAAATCGTTCAATTTGCATTGACGGAAGTCTTGCGATTGAAGCATCTCTTCCTTACCGCGAGTCCAATCTTCGTGCGTATCGGCCTAAACAACGAAACGGTCGTCAAAAATCAACAGATTCCATTGAAAAGGGTGCAAATTTGATTACCTTGTGCTTGAACTTTTGGGCCAAATGTTCAAGACGTTCCAAACGCATGGTTTCAGCCAACAACCATTCTTCAAATGCTTTTTCGGCCAATTCCAAGCCCTTCCAGGCGTTGCCAATATCTCCAACCATTTTTCCTTCGGTTGGCATGTAAGCTGGACGGTTCGATAAACGCAATTTCGTTTGTAAAGTATTGAAATTGGTTTCCAATTTTGCTTTTTGTTCAACACGTGGTGGCTTATGCTTGCGACGATACGTACGGTAGTCCTCCAATTTCTTTTGAACTCCAGCCAACGAGTTGTCGGCTTGACGCGAGTTCAACCATGGCATAGTACGTTTAATCCAGTCAAGCAACTGAAAGTGAATTAGGAAGCCATTAGGAAATTTTCAATCATAAAAATTGACAGAGGAAGCAACATAAATAGGAATAGCAAATAGAAACTTACATCACTGGCCAAACGTTCATACTCTTCCATGAGACGCTCATTCTCTTGGTTCACCTTCAACACCTTGCAGATGCGGTTAGCTGCAGTTTCGGCCTAATCATTGAAAATTTGCAACATTAGTTTCTATTCATTCAATCAAAGGGGATTTCAAACAAATATTCCAAACTAAAAGGGGACATATACAGAAAAATACAATTCAGGAACAAATAAGTATGCAAAAAACAGAGCATTCAAAACGAGTTGTTAGTTCAATTTCCTATTTCGAACTGCAATAATCCAGCGTTCCTCGTTCGATTTTGATTTTTTTTTTTTGCCGACCTGTAGACAAATTTCGATTGCGAAAAAAAATGAAATACCTTTTGAGCTCCACTAAAGCAATGATAATATGACGATACGTATGTAAGAATAGCTCTCTCATCAGGCTTCGCTATATTAATCAAATCTATAATTTATTGATTCACACAGAAAAAAAAAGAAGAAAACAACATCAAACAAACGGGTTAATTTAAGCGCAAAAGAAAAAACAAATGCAAAAAATCTGTTAGATTCAAAAGGAAATCACCGAACGGCGATGAATATTCATAAATCAAAAATTGTAGAAAAAAAGTGGTAATTAAAAAAAAATCTCGTTCAAACAACAAAGAAAGCGACAGAACACTTTGAAAACGGAGAGATTGAGTTTGTCGTTAGTGGGATTTGAATTAGTTGCGGTTTAGTTCATGCGATGAGTCGAAAATTCGGCAAAAGTCATGAGCAAGAGTGTGTTATGTGTGTGTGTGGTGTGTATTGTGTTTAATAAGTCTGTACAAAAATCGGCGGCGTTCTTTTTAGGTGGAGGATACTCCGACGTTTTAGTTGAATGAAATGTTGAAACTCTTTTTTAATCAATTTTGTTTTTTGTTGTAAATTGAAAATTCTCCATTTTTAAATTCAAAACCAAAACTTTGGAATTATTAATCGACGTTTAGTTTTCAGTTCGTATTATTATTAGGAATTTGAATTAGAAATGATCGGCAAAGGAGTTTTCTTAATTCAGAGTTTCTGTTATGGAAATGTCATGAAAACGGTTGGTTATTGAAGTTGGCAAAGCAGCGCTGTAAATAATCTCCGTCAAGAAAATGCCAGAAATGCACACTGAAAACTGCGGCCACAATTGATCGAGAAAAAAAGATAATTAAATGAGAAAAAGAATGGAAGCGTTCGATTTCCTTCGGAGTATTGAATAATCTTTTTCTTGTATATGTCTTTGTGTGTGGAATTTTGTATAGATCTGTTTGTTTGTTTTTTTTTTTTTTTCTTTTGGTCTGATCTGGTCGAATCAAATTGTATTTTGTGCTGTGAGGGTGGAACGATTTAGTCACATTATCTCGGTTATTGTAGTATGGTTGTGGTTGGTATGATTGGTAGGGAGCTTGTGGTTGTTGAAGTGGCTCTGGGTTAACCTGTTGAGCTCCTTGGAACGCGTGGTAGTAGCACGAGACGTATGTAAGAATAGCTCTTTCATCAGGCTTCGCTATATTAATCAAATCTGTTTCATTGCACCAGCGTTCAATGTTCGTTTTTTTTATCGTCCAATTTTGCAATTGTCATCAAACAAATCGTTTGTGTACGTATGTATATGTGTGTGTGTGTTTTATGAAACCATCACCAGAAGTGAAAGAGAGAAATTTTTTTTTATGTTGTTTGAAAGAAAAGAAAAGATAGTTTTTTTTTTAAAATAAAGACTGCATCGAATGCCGTAAAATTGATTAGTTTACCTTCTGGATCCAACATTCTTGGGATATCCAAGTATTTCTCAGCAACATCGAATGCTGTATTCAAGTTCTCCAATGGATTATCCTTCGACAATTTACCGTAATCGATCAAGTCGGGTCTGTGACGATGGATCAATGCACAGAACGCAAGACCATCCTACAATTTTAATTTAAAAAATAATAATTTATAAATCGAAAATTGTACATTTTCAATCATTTTTTCAAGCATTCGATTGTAACTCACCTTGAAACTGAGATGGAAGTTTTGTACGTTGACGTTCTTGTATGGAGCGGTCTTGCGTTGGCACCACAACAGCAAACCTTCTTTAGCGGTCATTTCTTCAACCGAAATGTCTTGGATGGCGAAGCGCAAGATGATAGTCCAAATCATACCCAAAGTCATTTTCAGGTTACCATCAACGATTTCTTCGGCACCAATTGAAACCAATTTGACACCTTTGGCTTCGATAAAATCGAGAGCTTTGTTCACATTGGCAATCTTAAAGCAGCGACAATTTTATAAATTTAACGTGTATTGCAGAAAAAAAAAAACATTTGTCATAAGAGAAAAAAAGTAACACATGTTGCAACCAAAAATGGCAGAGAAAGTGACTCACCTTGTGGAAGCGCATTTTACCACGGTCTGGCTTTGGCAATGTTTCGCCGGAGATGACTTCGAGCAACAACATAAGTTTGAGTCCATTGCGGAAATCTTCTTCGATGTTATCGATGGCTGTGCCAGCTTTTCTCAAATGGCTGTTACACCAAGCAGTGAATGTCTATCGAAAGTGAAACAAGAAAAACATTTAAACGGTTAATTTTCGGTTTTTGAGAAAAACAAACACACAATTTTTGGTTGATCGAACTCAGTGAACAAGATGAACTGAATTTTCGATACACAATGCTTCATTAATAAGCGTGATCCCAACGGTTTAAAACGAGTATTATTTTCTCTCTTTTTTTCGCTACTTTCATCATTATGGGGGCAATTTAAATCCGTGATTCTTACAATAACAACAAAAGTAATGAACCAAAACAATCAAGTCATGGGAAGCAATTTGATTGAACTGCCAATTTTGGGTTCAATCCGTAGAAAATGGTACGATGCACATGAGATCATCCGAATTACTAACTAATATACATGTTTGTCGAAAATAATTTTCAAAGTTGTGAATTCGACGACAGGAAAAATGATGCTCATTTTTCCCCATCATCATCCATCGTGCGGCTGTTGAAAGTTTGTAAACAATTCAATTGGTCTTGAGTACACCATTTAACCGTTAATTGCTGTTATTTTGTTTTTCTGAACTGTAATTTCTTCATCAGACTAATTAAAATCGATGCACTTCGGAGGAGAAATGTATTCATTGAATTATATGCGGATTTTTTTTTCCTATGTCTAATTTGTTGATCTGTGCGGATGAGGCTAGTGTCTTATTGTTGATTTATGCACAAAATTCTGCTGTGCTTATTTATTAATTATTCATTTATTTGCCTATCGTAATGCGGTGCACGCACGCCGCTGGCTGCTTCCACTGACGACTGACATACAACACACTACGAACACCCATTTTCAAACAATGCAAATAAAAAAAAACACCATTTACAAACAATAACAAAATTAAGACATTAATTGAGCAGCGCCCAAAGGAAAAATCGTAGAATAAATGGGAAATTAGATGCAAACCGAAAAGTTATTCGAAGCATTTTAATTTAAGATTTTTTTCTTTCGTATTTTTCGTGCGATTAAAAAGAGTGAAATAAAATTCACATGACTTTCAAGACTCTCTAAAGTCTCAGCGCGAACGCGCGCATACGATGCGATTCTCTCGCCTCAATTTGCACAACGAGAAGAAAAAAATGATTGTTTTCATTTCTCGTGATTCTGATGTGATTAGTGGGCAGAGAAAAACACTCATTAACCTAGAAGATGTTGATGATCTCGCTGCTTCAATGAAGAAGAAGCAGAAGAAAATAAAATTCAGCCGTGTATACAATTTGAATGGAGGATGAAACGAAATTGTAGTTTTGTGTTAAAACGGTTGACGCCCGCGTTAATGAGTTTTGGGTATACGTTGAAAATGGCGTGTTTGTCAACCAAGTGGCGCAACACAGATTTTCACAGCGATTTAGATATTATCATGATTTTAAAAAAAATTGGACAGTTTATTTGTCAACGTTGCATGGCGCGGCGCACACGGACTTTTCCCAAAATGCGGTCAAATAGGCAAATGATTCATTTGATATATGTGCAAACGCCAAGAGGAATTTCTCGAGTCTACACTTTCGTTAAAAAATGAAATTAAGAAGACTCGTTTCTCATTTCACTGCAGCGTTACCAGTTTTTGTTGTTGTTGTTGTTGTCGTTATTAATAAAGTTATAAGCATGATGATATCGATAGCAAAAGTTATGTACAACCGAAGATGAGAGAAAACCTGTACAATCCGATTGAATTTAATTGGTTTTTCCAGTGAACAGCACAGCACGGACAACGGTCGCGATCGATTGGAATAATCATATTCACGGTGATTGTGTGTCTGTGTTGCACACAGAACCAATAATATTACGGTTATAAATGGTTTTATTACGCGTGATTTTTTTCTCTTCTGTCTTTCTCTTGCGCCGGGGATTATTGGCATTGGCATTGGGTGCGGCCGAAATGGGCATTATTTTGATTGTATGGACAGTATATATATTTTCCTCAGTTGTACAATTTAATTGAAACGAGTCGCGTTTTATCGCCGCGCTACGGCATGTTTCTTTTTTTTTTATAGTGCACAGCGCTTTTTCGCAATGATTTGCAAGTGAGATTGATTGCAGGGAAATTGATTGGACGTTTCGCACGTTTTAAATTGAATATGAAAAAAAAGCATTCATTTTGTGAAACTACTATGTATGCAGACACACGGACTCTCTAATCAAGTGCACCATGTGTGCAATTGTGTCGCTTTTACGTAGATTTTCATTTGATTTGTATGTCTAATTGTGTGATTCAAAGTGAAACGCACTGACGAATCGAGAGACATAAAAAAAAAATGAAGAAAAAACCAACGCCGGCGGAGAAAAGATGGAACACCGAAATCATTTAGAAACGGCCGATGATAATACTGTAAAAAAAACCTGATTCCACCGGATTTATGCATTCAATCTGTACTTGTTTGGCTACGGCAACTGATTGTGTGACTCTCGACGCAGAAAGAAAAAAACTAACAGTATAATACATCGCCTCAGACCAAAGAAAAAGTCTTGCGATGCATGCTTCTGAAAAATATTTGCAGCACTATCAAAACAAAACACCTTTCTACATTGGTATAAAATATCTCGATCGGTCGTTTTATATGGATACATCCAGCTGGTTTCAATATCTTTCACTCTTTTTGAATGTGATGCTTTTTCTTCTTCTCCTTTTGAATAAATGAAAAAATTCGATACACCATTAAAGAAGTGTTATGTTATCATAATGAGATCGGATTCAACGCATCCATTAATTTGACATTCATGTTTTGTCCGATCGCTGCCTGAAGTAAGCTTCATCAAATAAATTAGACTCGAAGAAAGAAAAAACACACTGAAAACGATATGCAGCCACAGACAATGAACGAACAAAGAACACCATTCAAAATGAACGGTGATATAGAATATGATCGGCTTGTGAATGTCATCCTGGTTTCGAAAGAAACACAGAAGCCCAATTGTTTATGCGCTGTTCTACATTTGGAATTCGGTGTTGTGAAGAAATCAATAAATTAAGCAGTACCGTTGGCCGTTTTGTGAAAGCCACCGATCCGAAAAAACACATTCAATATAATATACCGCAAGGAGAAAACGTGAAGTGTCGAATTAGAGAAAACAAGCGAAATCAACCACTTTTATTGTCTAGTTCAATTCATAAGTGCAGTGTGCGCACGTGTACACGTTTAAACCATGAATTTGATCCATGTGCATTTCTATCAGTTGCGATAAACTTGTCAGTCGTCGTTGTCGTCGTCTTCGCTGCGTCATTTTCTCCAATCTCCTTCGTTGCAATTTGCGACGTGAGCTTCTCTAATTTGCATTCAATTTTCTCTTGTACACTCATTCACAAGTTGTTACTTCCGCTCGAAGTAAAAGCGACGCCTCAATGCAACTGCTTTGAACTATTTTTAAAAATAATTCTTTTTTTCTTAATTTTTAAGCGTCCTTTTCGCAACAACAACAGTTGGTTGCGTTCCAAAAATAATAAATGAGCGCTGAAATAATTCAATGTTTGTGGTCGTGGTTACGTTATAAATGTACCATTAATTCCAGAGTTTCGGATCGTGATTAATGCGCAATAGATGACGTCGATTTGGTGAAATTTATTGATTGGAATAATCTAGATCGAAATCTCAAGAGAAAAAAAAACATTTCCCCGTGAAGATTCATTTGGTTCACGTTAAAATTACGAAACTATACTGAAGCAAATGGATTTCATCGGAATGAATGCTTCCATAAGATTGGGTAGAAATGTCTCAAATTATTCACAGGCTTCGAATTTTACCGTTTAGCATTTCGAATTTGACTATTTTGCATCGAATGTAGCAAATGAATTTCAAACTTAATGGATTTAGATGCAAATTCAGTGGATAACAGCTCTTTGACATGACTCTAATGAACTTCCACTAATTTAAAAGATGAAATGCAACGATAAGAGTCAACACGATAAGAACAAGAACCGAACAACAAATAGAAGATTGATGATAGATTCGAACATTGAACCGAAAAATGTTGACGATATCTTGGAATCAAAATTGGTTATCTGTGTTTTTCTTTTGTTTTTTTTTTTTTCACGTGTGACAAAAGAAATCTAGAAAACATTTTTCTGCTCAGAAAAAGAGAACCATAGGTGACTTGTAACAGAAACTTCAATTTGAATAAACACACGCCATACAAATGTTATGCAAATAAACGGGCCTCGCGTCAGCTTTTGTTATGTAAAACATTTTCTTAAAGTGCCTTTGCGTCGCCAGCAAAAGCACAAATATTTGTCAAGGTCGAGAGAGCAAAAAGAAAAAGAAAACAGTGTTTGCGCTGAGCCGAGAAAAAATAAGGAACGTGGTCGTTGTATGCATAATTGCATTGGCTCAGGTGATTCAGTTTCTTCTAGATGAATCTCGTTCGTGCGCGATTTTCTGACGACGTTCACATTTCAGGCATTGTTTCGACAGCAATTTTCTCTTTAAATAACCATTGAACCGAAATATAATAAAATAAATATGTTCGCCCGAAAAGAGATTATGGTAAGTGCAACAATAACCATCGTTCGAATGAAAATGGTGTGCTTGTTGTGTAGTTCAATGGCGATCGTCCATAATGTGGTCAATTGGTGTCTTTGTGGGTCAATGACTGCAGTAAATTGTATGATGAAGGCGCTGCAAACGAAAGAAAAAATCCATTTAACTGCACTTTCGTTTTATCATCATAAAAGTCAACGTGAATTCAAGTCAAACGGATCGGTATGATTCAGCAGCGGCATAATTCGATAACGGATTCATTTTTGTTGTCCCCTGTTTGCACGCCCATGTGTATTTGTGTATGTTAAATGCTTCTCGATTTTTCGAGCCGAAATGTTCGACATTGCGCACGCGCAATGATCACAAGCCATTGACAAAAATAAACGTTATTTTCTGTCCAGCATATGGCCGTGAAGCGGCGCACTGTCAGCCAAAAATGCGAAGAGCTGGAATTCATGTTATAAATAAATTTCAAGCGCTCGCATTATTCTCGTGAAATATGTGAAATAGTCCGTCTGCTTAATTG